TATATATATATAAACGCTTCCCGAGGCACTCCCAACCTAAGAAACTTCTATCAGCTCACGCTCCCCCGCTCCCGCTCCCGCCTCCGTCCCCATTTCGTGCAACTAAGATTTGACCAACTTGGGCATGCAATGTTCATTTCTAAGCTTGATCTAAGGTCAGGGTACTATCGAGTGCAGATTGCGGAAGGTGATGAGCCAAAGACTGCTTGTGTAACTCACTATGGCTCTTATGAATTCTTAGTAATGCCCTTTGGCCTCACCAACGCACCCGCCACATTTTGCACATTAATGAACAAGATCTTCCACCCTTACTTAGACCGGTTTGTAGTGGTCTATTTAGATGACATAGTCATCTATAACACCGCTCTTGAGGAGTATATAGAGCACCTATGGACCGTCTTCAAGACACAAAGGGAAAATGAACTGTATGTCAAGAAAGAAAAATGCTCATTTGCAAAGGACGAAGTTTCTTTTCTTGACTATGTAATCAAGGGAGGCAAGCTTCGCATGGAGGAAGGAAAAGTAAAGGCAATCAAGGATTGGGAGCCACCCACCAAGGTGACAGAGCTGCGGTCTTTTCTTAGGCTTGTCAATTACCATCGGCAGTTTATCAAGGGCTACTCGGCGATAGTAGCCTCTCTTACCGACATGCTTAGGAAAGGCAAGGCATGGGAATGGACGGAAAAGTGCCAAAATGCCTTTGATATTCTAAAGGATGCGGTAACAAAAAGAACTACTCATGGCTCTACCCGATTGCACCAAACCCTACGAAGTCCACACGGATGCATTAGATTTTGCCATTGGAGGGGTCTCGATGCAAGAAGGACATCCTATTGCCTATGAGAGCCAGAAACTCAATGACATAAAACGGCGTTATATAGTCCAAGAGGAGGAAATGAAGGCCATCATCCAGTGTCTAAGGACTTGGCGACATTATTTACTTGGTTCCAAGTTTGTGGTGAAAACCAATAATGTAGCCACAAGCTATTTTCAAACTCAAAGGAAGCTAAGCCCAAAACAAGCACGATGGCAAGATTTCTTGGTTGAATTCGACTACGTCATGGAGTACAAGCCCGACAAGGCAAATCTTGTAGTGGACGCATTGAGCAAGAAAGCTGAGTTAGCCACCATTGTGAAGCTAAATGGGGAGTTGCTAATGCTAATCAAGGAAGGCATGGAGTATGAAAACTTGGCTAAAAACTTAGTAACAATGGCCAAAGAGGGCAAGACCAAGCGGTTTTGGGAAGAAGATGGCATCCTCTACACAAGAGGGCAACGAGTTTATGTTCCAAAGTGGGGAAACCTATGGAGGAACCTTATCAAAGAATGCCATGACACCAAATGGGCTGACCACTCAGGACAAAAATGTACTTAGGCATTATTGGAGTCAACCTACTATTGGCCACAAATGCGGGACGCGGTGGAGCAATATGGAAAGACTTGTCTTGTGTGCCAACAAGACAAGGTGGAGAACCAAAGTCCAGCAAGATTGTTGGAGCTGCTCCTTATACCAAGTAAACCTTGGGAAAGTATTACTATGGACTTCATAGTGGCATTGCTTAAGTTTGATGGGTGCAAGAGCATTCTAGTGGTGGTAGACCGTTTCTCTAAGTATGCAACGTTAATAGCTGCACCCAACGAGTGTTCAGCCGAGGAGATAGCCAAGCTATTTTTCAAGCATGTGATGAAGTACTAAGGCTTGCCACAGTCCATTATCAGTGATCAAGATTCACCATTCACGGGCAAGTTTTGGACAGAGTTGTTCAAGCTAATGGGATTAGCCCTCCACTTCTCTACTAGCTTCCACCCCCAAACGAATGGACAAATCGAGAAGGTGAATGCATTGTTGGAGCTATATTTGAGGCATTTTGTAAATGCCAACCAGCATGATCGGGCTAAGTTGCTTAACATAGCTCAATTCTCCTACAACTTACAACAAAGTGAGGCGACTAACCGAAGTCCATTTGAGCTAGCCACAGGACAACAACCATTCAATTCACACTCTTTGGTGACCAGCTCAACAAGGAGTCCCTTGGCCTACAAGGTTGCTAAGACATGGAATGAACAGGTAGATGCCGCACAGTCTTACCTTGACAAGGCAACCAAGAAGGTGAAAAAATGGGCAGACGAAAAGAGGCACCACCGAGAGTTCAATGTTGGAGACTTGGTGATGGTGAAAATCTCATCTAGCCAAAACAAGTTCACCCAAGGCCTACACAAAGGGCTTATACGTAGATATGATGGGCCATTTCTAATAAACAAGAAGGTGGGTAAGTTGCCTATAAGCTTGAATTACCTCAACATCTCAAACTCCACCCAGTCTTCCACGTAAGCTGCCTTAAGCCCTACTACGAAGATAAAGAAGACCCGGACAGAGGCAAGTCTAAGAGGGCACCGTTAGGCATCACGACAATTTATGACGAAGAAGTAGAGTCCGTCTTAGCAGACCGAGCGGTCCGGAGACAAAACTTTGCCCCACGTCATGAATACTTGGTGAAATGGAAGGGATTGCTCGACTATAAGGCTAGTTAGGAACCGACAGAAGCTTTATGGCAATTTGAAGAAAAGATAAAACAGTTCCATGAATAAGACGCAACGAGGGTGTCACCGTATTAGGTGGGGGGAATGTCACAGATTGATAAATTCTGATGTTGTCCCTCACTAGAAAGCCCTAAGAGGTTGTGAAAAATGCTGGAAGTTTCTAGAACTCCCTAGAGTCATGTAGAGACTTGTACATAATTGTAGATATTTGTAGATCCTTCTAGATACGTATTGTCATGACCTGACCCCAGGGACATAGGGTTGGAATCGCAACTTACTAACTTATCTTATTTGTAGCAAATTAAACTACGCAAGCGGAAGTAAAAATAATGAAATGGAAAATTTACTTCATTTTACTATTTAAGAAAACGAAAACACATCTATAGGGCTTTAATTATTTTATTATTCAGTGACCGGCCCCGAGTAGAACAAAAAGGAAGCAAAACTAAAAAAAAAAGAAAGAAAAAAAAAGTGGTTCAACAGCAATCCATGTGCGGGTTCCATTTTGTGGGGTTATGGGTTTCCCCTACATCTCGTCATCTGAAAGGGTAACAGCTATAAGCACACAGCAGAGTAAGAAATATTATGCCAAGAGTATAAGGAATACAAAATAACCATGGATAATTAGTTAGGCTAAAATATTTACATAATTTTATTTGAAATAACAATTTATTTAAAGTGGCAGAATACTGAAATACAGAAATCATGTAAATGAATAATCATAACCATGGTACAAAATAGAACAGAGGTCACAGAAGTGACAGTCAGAACAGAGGTCAATGGATCCATGACAAACAGAGGACCACGAAGTGGCCAAATAGAGGCCAATGGTTATTGAAGTCCCCCAAGGCGTGGGACTCCCGTGGTGATACTTACAAAACATAATTGTTTATAAGATCATAGTCAAATATATACTAAAATTTAAACAAACATATCTATGGGTTTCCTTTTAAATAAATAGAGTTTAGAAAATAACCCACGTAATTGAAATATTTATAAAACATAACTTTTATTAATATAACTAATAAAATATAACTTATATAAAATAAGTTATGGTAACTCCAAACATTCGTAAAACATATAATGGTAACTCAAGATATAATATAACTCACCTTAATATTGACTCTTAGCCTTATTCTACTGACACAACCCCCTGTTGTAAGTACTATAAGTTTAGTACTTACGTGCGCCTCTCTCATTTTCTTTTTCTTCCTTTCCTTCTGTTTTTCCTTCATAGGTTGTCCCACTCCTCCCTATTTATAGGGAGGTCAAACCACTCTTATGCCGACACATGGCGAATTCAAATCCTTCTACAGATTTGATCAATCTCACATGGATACATCATTTATAACGGAAGATTTATTCTTATCTTAGTAGTTGTTTATGATAATTACACTTTTGCCTAATAAATTAATCCCTAATTAAATTTCACTTTATCTTATACCAACAAAAATTAATTATTTATTTTACTACCACACCCATTATTATTATTATTATTATTTATTCCCTCTATTTATTTACTATCTTTAACTCTAATTTGTATTATAATTTTATATTTGTGTTAATTTAGCCTCAAACAATAATCCCTAATTAATCCCATATTTGATAACCCAATGCCAAATTAGATTTATATATTTATTTATTATTATTTATTCATTTAATAATATTTCATCACATACATCCATAATTATATTTAATTATAAATATTTATGTGGTATTTAATTCGTTTAATTATATTTATACATGTTAATCTTTTCACATAAATTAGTGATTAACTTAGCCCTAAATAAATCACATATTTGATAACTACAATGACAAATACATTTACATAACACGTAAAGCTTATTTATTTTATTACTTCCATTATTATGATTCTTATTATTATTATTAAATTTTATTTTATCGCATACAATCACAAAATTAATTCTTTATAGATTATTATTATTATTATTATTATTATTATTATTATTATTATTATTTGTTTTTAATACTCATGGTTGGTTGTGGTATTAATTAAATATTTAGGGTGTCACATGTATATTCTAGAATATGAATCTAGAATAGTCCATAAGATGGAGATGGAGATGGAGGAAGTGTCTAGAACACTCTCCACCATTGTAGTTCTAGAACATTCTTTGTGGCCTATAAAAGGGGGAGGGCCTCATTTGCCCAAACCATTCAAGTGTATCAAAAGCATTCCAAAGCTATACAAGTGAGCATTCTCCAAGAGCGCTCTCTAACTTTCTCTAAGCTTTTTCTTGTGTGTGCAATCTTCTCCTAGCTCTCTTCCAAAAAAGCTTACTTAGGTGCAAGCAAGGAATGCTACAAGCATCTAAGGCCACACGGTTGGATTGGAAAAACCAAGGCTGTGACACAAGGCACCAGAAGCTGATTTGGCATCAGATCCTCCTGTGGCCTCAGATTTGGCCCTGAATACCATTGCTACAAATGATAAGAAGATGGAAGAAAACAGTGAGGCTGCAAATTTACCACTTGAAAGAGAGATATTATTACCTGGGAATAGAGACTCAGATACACAAGATACCTTAGAAGTAGATGCACTGAAAGATCCCGATAGAACCAGACAAGATCAAGCCTCTACCAAGGTTCAGGCTGCTTTCAGGGGTTATTTGGTAAATTTCACTCACTCAGAGTCTCAAAGCAATAGTGTTGTTGCTGTGAAAATTTGTTGCCTTTGCTTGGTTATAGGTTTGCGTATCAATTATGGTACTTGCCCCTTTGGAACACATGTTGTTATGTCTGGGATGAATATATTATAAAACTATTTCCACTTGATTTTTGTACTAGTCATAATGGCATCTTTGTTGCACATAATTTTCCATTAACTGTACGCATGAAGTTTGTTCGATGGATGATTTTGTTGTGATACTTCTTTTACTTTGATAGTGATGAGCACTTTTTTATACATCGACTTGTCTTACTGTGGCTTATCCAAAATCATGATTCTGGTCAGTTTATATTATTATTATTATTATTATATGTTGTGATATTATGAGCAAAAAGTTCAATATTAACCTACTGTGTGTGGATAGCTATTTGATTTAGATAACTCCTTTTAAGATTGTTTATGTGTGTGTCAATTTCCGACCACACTGGCAATCAAGCACTCAGCTGGAGAACGCTGGTAGAAGAGATTAAGCCCGAACGACCTGCAACAGAAAGAAGAGATTCTGGCGGTGGTTCGTCCACCCGGGAGCACTTCGACGATCAAGTCAGTTATCTCTCAAAGATAGCAAAAATGCTTAGCTCACTATTCAGAATATAAATTGTGTACCTTAGACCCATGGGGGCACCTCCCTTTTATAGCTAATACAATCCTAGTCCCAATAGAAGCCTAGCTCTAGTGGACTTAGGATTACTGCTAATCTTGGACTCCCAGTAGGATTGGGATAAGCTCTCTAAGAGTCTTATCTTTACCCAAACTGAAGTCTTCTCTCATTTTAGGACTCTTGTCCCTTAACCGCTTATCCCGGATTTTGATATTCTCGAAGATAACCTCGGCCTAGCCGAGATCACCTTGGCGTCATGTTCAGAACACGTGGCACCTCGGATGACACGTCGGTGCCACCTCGGCCACGTCTTGTCACTCAAAAATTATGTCCCCACAGTTTCTAATCATTTTACACTCTTTATATGAGAATAATTTGGGCATACTAGATAAGGGTCTAGTAAGGTCGTCTGACTTCACCAATGTTTAAATATTTCTCAAGCAGATTTTTGGACTGTTGAGTGGCTCCTTCGAAATCCTCTATAAACGAGATCCTATTTTGTAGATTTCTACATTCTATGACACAGTCTAGCAGCAATATTGGTGTTATTTGTTTCTGCCAACCAGGGACGGAACTAGGAGAAGACTATGGTGTTTCTGTGAACATTATTGTTTGTCATAAAACTTTATATATATATATATATATATATATATCATTTTATATATAAAATGGCCCCCAATATAAAAGATATATGTCATTTTTCTTCCATCTTGCATTCTGTTTCTATTTTACGTCAAAAAAACTTATTCATCCTATTAGAAATTGCTTCTATGGTATTTAAATTTTTTTTATTTTTATGTATACATAATTTATATATCATATATATGCACATGTATGTTTTGTGTATATGATAAAAAAAAATTAATTTTCTTTTGGCCCCTTCAGTAATGAAATCTTGGTTCCGTCCCTATTGCTAACTGTCTGACTCTACCCCTATCACATTCAACAAGCCCTAATAGTTAACAATCTTAAGAAAATTCGTACACATTATACATGGAAAAGTTTCTTACATATGAACATTATGCTTTCATTTGTTCATAAAAATACCCCTATTAATGTAAGCATTCTATTTGAAGGCTTGTCGAGTATTTTGGACCCTCAAAGGGATAATAAGGTTACAGGCACTTGTTCGTGGGCACTTAGTGAGGAGACAAAGCTGTTTCTACTCTACACTGTATGTTGGGATTAAGTTATAGACCCTTGCTCATGGAAGAAACATCAGGTGTTCTGATGTCAGCTATGAAACACGGACATAGACACGAACACGGATGCGAGACAAGGCAATTTCCAAAAAATGGGGACAGGGACACGGACACGACGAGGGACACAGCGAATTTTATTTTATTTTATTTATTTATATATATTTTTATGTGTTATGTAGATTCATATTACATTCATCCTAAATCAAAATTAACAAACACTAACACTAACATAGTAACATTAATTCAATAAATATAACCACTACATTTAAACAAATTAATAGATCATCCATTCTCAAAAAAGTCATAATAAACTATAACAAAAACTAAGATGATACGGGAAAAACATTCAACATCCAATAATATTCTTCACAAGAGAACTAAATAAGAGAGGCAAAAAAAAAAAAAAAATTAGCCCCGCCGTGTCCCCATATCGACACGTGTGTTCCCGCTGTGTCCCCTACAAAAAAATCATTAAATTAAAGGGAGACGTTATAATAACCCTGATCCGTGATTAGCTTAAAACATATTATTAAGAGTGTTTAATGAGTAATTAAGATGGAATTCTGAATTAATTGCATGTGTATTGCATTGTTGGTGTTTATATCTGTTCATGGTAGGAATATCTTTCTGTATTTCTGTTTAGTTTTGCGAATTGAAGGCCTTGTTGGCATTTGATCATGAAATTGACTACGGTTATAAGTTATTTGGAATTTTTAGAATTTTATGGTAGGATGAATTGAAATTCGATTCAGAACGAATTAAATTAGAATCATTAATGTTCACTTAAGCTTAATTAATCAATTCTCTAGTCAAACCCATATAAGGCATAAGTGGACCCTTGACTATACTTTACACTCTCTCATTTTGTTGTCTTGAGAACAAAAACGTGAGAAGAGAGGGAGAAGAAAGCTTGAGAATTGAATTCAACAAACAAGGAAGGAAAGAGAGGGATTGCTAAACATTGGAAGAGAATTTGGAGGATTTTAGCACTCTAGAGCATAATTGAACATCTAAGGTAAGAATTCAACCTTTAGGTTTGAGTTTAAGTTATTCCATACATGAATTCTAGAGAATTAAGCTAAGTTATACAAGAATTGAGCTAATGAATTAGAAAGGAGGATAATTCCATGCATGCATACATAATTCATAGATTTTGAGTTTTAATTCCAACAATTTCATACGTGCAAGAGCTTATCTTTGTTAGAGTATGAGAACTCACCATGGTTTTATACACAAACATTTCATTTGTACATGTTTTGGAAGGTTTGAATTCACGACAAATGCATGATATGTATACATATGTTCAAGTTTAGTTTTGAAGAATTCACTCGCTGTTGGGCTTTGATTTCGAGTATTGATTCTTAGTCCGTGATGTTTTACAAGTTTCCAAGTGTTTTCTCAACTTTTGGGTCCAAATGATGAGTTTTGAGGCTTTGAATTTGAAGTTTGCATCATGTTTAGCAATATGGAAATTACAGATTCTGCTTCTTCACTCGAGCGACAGAACCTGCGCTCGAGTGACCCGTCTGTGTTTTGTACCTCTGCTCAAGCAACCAAAAGGTGGCTCGAGCATAAAATGCATGCTCCCAGAAGTTTACATGTTTTGCAACCCGCTCGAGCGAAGGCATGAGTCTCACACTCAAGCAAGCGTCGAGCGAAAAAATCAAGCAACCAGTACTTTTGCAGAGTTTGCAAGCCGCTCGAGCGACAGAAGTTGTGCTCGAGTGACCACTCACATTTTGTATGTTCGCTCGAGCGAAGGAAGTTACGCTCGAGCGGGACCTCTATTTTCAGAAAATTTTGTTAAGTGTTTCCAAGTGCATTTTAGCATCCTTCTTGCATCCTAGGCATTCCTAGGCCAAGATTAAGACATAATAATGAGAGTAAAGGCTAAAAACACACTAAGAACGAAATAAAATGAGTTATGTACAATCCAAGCATGTGTTTTAGTATATGTATCTGTTATGTTTGTGTAGGTCACGCGCCGTGAACTGTTGGTCCATTGGTTTACTATCAAGCTATCTGTGAGTAATAACTTAGTAAAGCTATGCTCAATATGAAATATTTTCTGAATATTATGATATGATATAAACTGTTTTTGAATGGTAGAAAAGAATGTGTCGTGATTACATGAATGATGATCCATTTCTTTAAAATGTAATTGTGGTATCTTTAGTAGAGGCCCTTGTCCAGGAAAATACTGTGGCTTATGGCCATAAGGCCCTCGCCCGGGAAAAACAATACCATGGCCCACGTATGAGATATGTTACCCAGTACCAAAGATTCCAATGTGGAACTTAATATGCTTGACTAAAGAGATATGTTTAATGCTAACGGATACACCACTCATGCTATGAATATGTTTATGACTCTGTTTCTGATACAAATATGCTTATGTTTCTATTCAATAAGAGATTTGAAAGTTATATCTGTGACGGACATCATTCATTAAACCTCTTTACTCTGTTATTATTCACTTGGCTTCTACTCACTATTTATATTATGTATGTAGGTGACCAGGTGCGTGACCAGGCTTAGAGTTGATGACCTGGCGTCTCAATTTTGTCAGCCAGCCGTTGTGCCTCCGAGGAGGTTCCCTTTTATCAGCGGGTCAAGTCTAAATGGCTTATGTTTAAGACTTTGTCTTCTTTTGGGTATAAAACAAGTTTTGTTCATCTATACACTGGGCTAAGTCCCACTTTTGTTTTATCTGTATATGAGAGTGATGCACGACTAACATAAATATATATAATGTCACATGTGTGTTATTAAAGTTTTAAATTTCTATCATATACACATCATCATAGCTCTATGGACAATGTGTTTTATATATTTGCTTCTGCAGCTGTAGACACCCCATTTTTGACCGTCCTTAAGACTTGGACGTCATCGTTTGAACACTCAATGATTACCCTTGTTTGTGTTCGTCTTGAGTTCTCGGAGGTTTCGGCTACGCGCCTTACCTCAAGACCTCTCGACTTGTTTGTTTTGTGTTTGGTTTTGCATCAAACACTTGTTGTTTTGCTTCTGAGGATGGGAAGTAGCTTGTAGGCCATCCTCACACCTTACCGGCCATGGCTTGAAGCCACCGGCCTTGTTTCCTTGCCACCGGCCATTGGTGATGGTCGGTCGGCACTATTGATGGTCGATCGACATTGTGTTTGGTCGGCCGGCCACTGTTTTTGATCAATCGGCTACTTTTCCTGGCCGAGACCTTTTCTTGAAGGAGCTTGACCCTTTTGATCCTTTTTTTTAGCTTCTTGAGGAAGCTTGAACCCTTTTTAGCTTCTCCAGGAAGCTTGATCCTTTTTTTAGCTTCTTGAAGAAGCTTGAACCTCTTGACCTCTTTGTCTAGCTTCTCCAAGAAGCTTGGCCCTTTTGTTCCAAGCTTCTAAGAGAAGCTTGGCCTTTTTGCTCAAAGCTTCTAAGAGAAGCTTTGCCCCCTTGGTTTCTCTATAAAAAAAGGCCTCTCCTCCCCTTTAGGGGGTTAGAAAAATCTGATATATAGGATATATATATCACTCCCTCTCTATATCTCCCTCCCTCTCTACATTTGTGTGAGTTAAAGGGTTCAAAAGGGTCTAGTTCTTGCACATTTACACTACAACTCTTGGCCTAACGCCTCCATCATCAACCTAAGGAGCTTAGAGGCCATTTTCAGAGGCTAGGGGACTATTTTTTTGGACCAAGAGGCTGCTGTCCCCTTTTGGCTACAAAGGTAACTCCTTTTCCCTCTTTATTTTCTGTTTTTGCACACACTTTTAGCTTATCTTGCTTGCTATTTTGAGCTTTGTGTATAACATAAAAAAGTTCTTTTTTTGTGTGTTTAAGATACTTCATTAAGGTCACTTTTGTGTTTGGGGTCGTTTACCCCCTCTTAGGCCTTGTTTGGCCTCATTTTTGTGTGCTTTTGGTGAGCTTCGGGACCGCCTTGTTTGGGCCTCCTCACCACTGAAATCTTGAGGCATTTCAGTGGTGAGGATGGTAGTTTGAGGTCCTAAAAAGGAGAGGGCCATCCCCCCTCCTTATGGTCTTGATTACTTGCATTTTTGGCCTTACAAAGGAGCTCCTATTTGCAAGCTTCCAAGCTTTATTTCCAGCATTTTTTAGTGAGTTTTAGGACCCCCATAAGTCATTTCCAAATCTGGTTTTTCCATGTTAAGTGTCCTTGTTGCATGTGTAGAGTAACCCTCTTATTGGCCTTTCAAAGGAACACATCTTTCTTGCATGCATGGACCTTGTTTCCATGGGTTTTTGGGGCTTATTTGACATACCATGTTACTATTTTTAGCTGGTTTGATGAGCTCTCACATGCTTCATATAGGTGTAGTGTAAACCATGCTTACTAGCCTATGTTGCATGTTGTTTTGGCCAAGCATGCTAGCTTATTTTGGCTACATTTCATACATGTTTTAGCATTATTTTGGGCTGCATGGGGACTGTTTGGGGCTATTTTCATCATTCGAGTATCGCTTTGCATGTTTATAGTGTATTGTATTTCACTAGCTTTAGTGCTTGAGTCCTTAACAATGCATTACATGAGTGTTTGCATGCTTTTGAGTCATTTTGGAGTCATTTGGCATGCCATTTCAGATCTAGAGCATGCACCATTGTATGCCATATTCCCTCCTTGCCATGCTTTGGTAGAGTTGCATTCTTGTGACTTAAGCTTGGTTAATGCATTGTGCATGCATTCCATGTATTTTGTTGCCTCACTTGCATCATTATGGCCACTGATTTTGGCATGTTTGCGAGCTATCCATGTTAGTTTAAGTCCATCATCGCATGTTGTTGCATGCCATATTTGTTTACATGTTTAGGTTGTGTGCCTATTACATATTAAATGCATTGCATAATCATGTTGCATTAGCCTTGCTTGCATGCTTAGGTTGCATTGCATTGCATGTGCATGCATCCCTTGCCTCTTGATTAAGCAAGATAGAGATTTGGGCCTTTGATGTGTTTTGTGTGTGCATTTCATTTGATATTGAAGTTGCACACTTGGCTTTTGGGCCATCACGCATTGAAATGCGCAATTGGTGGTCTGAGAATCGAGCGCCATACCCCTTTGAGTCACAAACATGATAAGGGATGTGGTGGTGCACACATTTGCTTGAAATGCATTGCCATGTCATGTTTTGCCCTCTGTTGCTGTCAAAACAGGTTCTGCAGGAAGCTTTGGCCGGCCGGCCATCTATACTGCCCACCGGCCATCCATTGTTGGCCGATGGCTTTACAGATGGTCGATGACCATCCGGACATGGCCGATGGTGTTCCGTCTTAGCCGGTGGTGTTCCACAGTGTCCATAGAGTGCTCCCTGGGCTTGTGCAATTTTCAGAGGAGCAGAGCAGGGAAAAAGAGGCAAAACTTGTGCATGGAGTTGATTTCCGAGCAAACTCGAGCACGCGCGCATTGGATCCTCTTCTCGAGGCCTTTACTGCTTTCTTAGCTTAGTTAATTTCTTAATTAATTAGGTGGTCTGTAATAATTAATTAGCTTGTAGATTAATTAATTGGTATTATTCTTTTGGTCCTCCGAGTGAGGGCAATTGTGTAATAAGTGTGCGTGAGTGTGTGTATGTCTCCCAACCCCACGTCTTTCTTCCCTTTTATTTACTAGCTTTCGATGGTAGTCTAGGGCATGTTTCAATTAGCATACAATATGATAGCCACGTTTGCAATCCATTCATTCGTTTTGCATGCACCGGGTCGGCGCATCATTCTAACTGCATTTGTATTCCGATTCCAAATTGAATATGTGTTAGTTGTAGCATTTCATATGTCATTGTAGATTAGCCAAGCCCATCTTAGTTGCATTTTGCATTGTTGCATTAGCCATCTTAACATGAACTAGGATCATGCATATGATTACTACACTAGTTTCTATTTTGGCTCCGGAGTACTCGGTAAGTTCTTATGCTTTAGCATCCTTGCATGTATGTGAGTGTTGCCATGACAGCATACTTACCATTGAGGCTAGCTGCTTATGTGATATAACTGCTTGAATGCCTGTGGATGGAGGTTGAATTAACTAAATTGGGATAATGCATTAAAACTGTGAGTTTTAAGCCCACTAGATAGTGGCAAAACCATCTTTTCTAAAGCCCACTTGAGGGTGGCAAAATCTGCATTTTAGCCTACTTGCGAGTAGCAAACCATTTTCAAAACAAGCATGAAATGTTTTGTTCCAATTTAGCCAATTTGGTCTATACTTGTTTGCTGTGCGCATAACATAGTAATTCTAGGCTAATAAATGGAATAAGAACACATAATGTTTTCAAAAACGGATATCACGGTTAGTAGAGGCCGATCTTCGGATCAGGTGAGAGGGGGTGCTCATAGCTGACCTTCCCCAATCGTACCCAAGCTCCCGAGCCGAGGCAACTTTGGTGATGACGGACACGTGGCCTTTGGCACCGAGTCAAGGTTTCCTAAATTCCCCCATAAAAAATATTTAGGCGGCGACTCTGTATCTGGCAAAGCGGTCCATGTTTGGCACTTCTTTCAAAATCTGTTTTTCTCAAAACAATTTGCCGGATTTGGACTCTTTGGTTCAGATTTAGGACCGTGACAATTTGAGAGTCCGAACTGTAGTGAACCCAAAACAAACAGTACAGAACTCGTCCTCCCGGGACGTTCGGGGACGTCTACAGCAGCCCATAATTATATATTTTTCTGTTCAGAGGCCTTTGGTAATCACAGGATTACTGGCCGATTACGACACTAAACCTATAGAGGCGGATTTGGGTCATGACATACGCCATTTGGCGTGTCCCGTATGTGTACCCATGTCGAACACCACCACAACACTGATTTTGGAGTGTCCATGCTTCATAGGATGTCAGCCTTCAAGTGCAAAAGAAGTGCATTATTGTGAAACCTCTAGTAAGCTCTTCAAAGACATTGCTACTAGTTCATTACTTACCCGTATTGGCATGAAAATTTGGTCATCATTTGCTAAAGTCCCTTGCTATTACTTTTGGAAATGTTAAGTGTCTATGTTTGATATTTGTGAAAAGTTCATGGTGCAAATAGTGAAATTCTTTGGGCAGAAGTCAACCTACTTGGGCGATTTTAAGTCAATCTATCTAAATGCACCATGAATTGTGTCCCTAAGGAGTTTTGAAGTCTCAATATCTCTAAATGCAATCTAATAGAGCCTATATTATAGATTTAATAGAAGAAAATTGAAAAATCAATATATTGCAGGCCTTGCCAAGAGTGGCATCATTGTTTGTACCTAGTGGATCAATTATGTCTACAAGTTTACAACACAAACCTATGCCTGCTTCTTCTAAGTGCTCATATTTTATGCAGTAGTTCTAAGTGCAGAGAAATGGAAATGGGTTTGTGTTATGTAGTAGCAAATGTAGAACTTTTGGTAAATTTACATGCCATAGACATTAAGTTGTTGAGCCAAGGTTATACATTAAATTCCTTTTTTTCCAGGTACATCTTGTTGAAGTAGTAAGTTTGTTGCACGCCTCAATTCTATCATGCATGTTTATATGCATCTTTCAATCAGGAGAGAAAATTTGTGGACCACATTGGAGTTAACACATCTGCGAAGGTAGCAAAGTTGTCAGCAAATACTTTTGTTCATTAGGTAAGCTCTGCATTATATCATGAGTGAAGATATGGTTGTGGATGTTTCTTTCTCCTGAACTAGCCATAGATAGAATTATCTGTTGCACACCTCATAGTCGAGTGTGAGGGAAGTTTAAATTTGAATAGCAATAACTAGTTGGCTGCATGTTCCCATCTCAATTGCATGTTTGCCACTTGATCTCTGCTTTGTACCCCTTTGGTTTTATTTGGCACTGACTACCTCATTATTTATTTATTTATTGTCTTTTATAGCTTCTTGCTTCATCACCCATTGTGCCTTTGTGCCACCAGTATGATACTACCGAACCGAATTCAGTCCTAAACTGGCTAGAACGGTGGTCAGAATCCCACTTGTGGGAACCGATTCCCCAGCTAAAGAAAGTTCCTGGCTCAAAATCCCAGAAGAAGCAGGGTAACCCCCAAACTGTTGACACTGAAACAGGCAAGGTAAAGCAGGGCTTTCGGAGGAACCCTCATTCGAACCTTGATCACATCTTAACAAAATCCACCTTTGAAATTGAGAAATTAAGATGTAGCTTCCGGAAAGTTTCAAGCCATCCAGCAGAATCAGTGCAGGAACATCCACAAAATGAACTTGAGAAGGTCAAACGCAATCTGAGAAAGATTCAAAACCCTAATACAGAGGGCACCGTTCAGTCGGAGATTGACATTGAGAAGCCAAAATGTGGACAGGAGAGCATTGGTGATTCCACTGAGAAGATAAAGAAAGAATCAAGTGCCAGAGTGTCCAAACAGCCTGATATAGAAGCCACTCTGGAAACATCAGTAGTGAATGAGACAATTGATTATTTACATAATGATCAAACTCCAATGGAACCCCAGCTTTTAGAGAGTAGTGGTAAAGATGAGACTATTCTTGCAAGAAACAGGGAGTTAAGCTCTAGAGAAAGTCTAGCTATCGATGAGAGCCAGAAATCTCCCAGGAAGGTTTCTTCCTCAGCAAAGCATGAACATTCGGAGAATGGGTTGCAAAACAAACCAACATTGCCTAGTTATATGGCAGCAAAGCGAAACTGAGAGCGCAAGGCTCTCCAAGGCTTGGCCAAGATAGTGTTGAGAAGCAAAATCTCACTAGGCATTATTCTTTGCCACCTTCAACTAACAGCAAACAACTTCACCATCACCAAGGGCATAGAAACCAATACAAGCAAGTGGCAAAGTTGGAAACAAAAGCGACAAATCTTTGTTGTCATCTAGAGATGGAAATGGTAAGAAATGATAGATCTCATCGAAACTCAATTTTGAGTCTTCCCAAGGATAGTTATAGCGTGTTTCATTTCTGTTTTTTGTCTTTTGGAAGAATTTCATGAAGCATTACCAAGAGTCATCCTGTTTAGCTGACTTGAAACACTTACTGTTAGGGTTAATTCGCTGATATAATGTTCCAATCTCGTGCGCTTTGGCTTCCATAGTAACCGTTAAAAAAAAGTTTCAATCTTGTTCTTACAAATTGAAGTGCAACATCTCAACCTTGATTGGGGTAGACCAGTCAACTTGAACAGATATAGTGTGGTCAATCTCTGATAGGATACTGTTTCTGGGATCTAGAAATCGTCATCCACTTGACAGTTTCTATCTATTAAACCAATTTTCTAGATTGGACATTTCCTGTTGAAAAGCCCTAAATTAAAATTGTCCCGTTTTATCTAATCCTTGAAAGTTGTTTGCTTGTTTTACTCTTAGCATTTTTTAACAGTAAATCCGGTTATTCTTTTTGGTTTCAGCCAAGGCTATCCAAGCAGAATGGCGACGATTTTGAGGAAAATCAGGGTCCAAAAAGGTTCCTGTAAGGAGTTAAAAAGTCCATCGCCACTTCGAGGTTTGTTTGGTGGTGTATAATAATGTTGTAGAAAGAAACCATCATATATTGACCTGTGCAAGTCTGTAACTAGGCATGTGGTGTGCCAAAAGCCATTCCGGGTTTTTCTCTGCATTTGAGGTGTTTTGAGCGATGAAGGTGTATATTGCAGGCTTGCGTCGTGCCAAACTTTTGATTAAATTTAGGAGTGGTTTAGAATGATTTAAATAAGTGTACTTTTTAATTTTTTTTATCAAATATGGGTTAGGTATGGGTTAAGTTTGAATTGATGTATTAGAAAGGTGATATGAGTTAAATAAGATAATGTGACTTAAATAAGATATTGACTTTTTAACTTTTTTAAATCATGTCAAACAAGGCCCTATTCTAAAAAACTGGTTGGTGTTGATGTGATTCTGGGCTTTCTGTGGAATGAATCTGTTCATTATGCATTCGTCTGCTGGGTGATCTTTGATTCTTGTACGTCCCAATTTGATTATTAAAGTGAATAGTTAGTAATTACTATGGGGCTGTTGTTCCAGCTTATAGGAGCTAAAGCTAATTATAGCTCACTTTACTATTTTAATTTGAGTCTGTATCATATTATTTGGTGCAATTTTTGTTAATAATTTATTAGGTAAAAATTATTTAAATAAATTTAAAAAAAAATGATTATCAGGAAGCAATACTTTTAGTTTTACTTTTTGATTATTAATTTTTAACTTATAATATGAGATTACATTTTTTTTTGGACAAAAGATTAGAGTTTCCCCAATGGTAATACCAGTTTTAATGTGCAAAGGAAAGTACGGATGGAAAAAAAAAATTTAGTAAATTGCTGCTGTTTTACTACCAAAAAATTTTGAATTATAGAATTTTGAATTGTAGAAGTGTCTATAGAGATCACTTGAAGGTTGAAGGTTATTTATTTTTTTTTTTTTTTCCATTCACCATTTCACGTTTTTTTTTTTTTTTAATAACAAATTCAGACATAGTCAAAATGTCAACTTCTTTAATTGAAAGTAATCAAAACATTTTTTTATATTTATATTTACAATTTTTTTGAAAATTGTAATCATAACGACGAGGCGACCTTTTCTAATCATCACCCACCTACAGTCATCAACAGCCACCTTCCTCCATTGGCAATATCACCTCTTAATGTAATTAATCACCTTCAGCTGTCACCCCCTCCTTCTTCTTCTTCTTCTTCTTCTTCTTCTTCTTCTTCTTCTTCTTCTTCTTCTTCTTCTTCTTCTTCTTCTTCTTTCAATACAAAAATAAATATATAAATAGTTTACTTCACATATTCATGTCTCTTAACAGTTCATTTGTAAAAGAAATTCACTGCATCTACATTGGAGTCAAAACTAAGGCCTTCTACATGCTCTAAGCGCTAAAAAATATATTTAAATCCAAAAAACGAAAAAGACTATGAAAACTCAAATTCATACTTTGAGCTAAGAATTTGAGGTAGCGTTAGTAGAGTTTTCTAATTATAATTTGAGAATAGAGTTATATTTTGAATTTATGAGTTTTAGAATTATGATTTAAGTGTAGAAAATTTGTTTAATTATGATTTTTTAATAGAATGTTGAATTGAGTTTTAAATTGAATGTGAAATTAAGTTTTGAACGTTTGATGTGATATGTGAAGTAAGAAAATTTGTTTGGTTATAAGTTTTTTTTATGAGTTATCAAAAATTAATTCAAAAAGTTATAAATCATAATCAAACATACAATTCAAAACTCGATTGAAATTTTTAATCAACATTCATAACTAAACTCTTTTTAAAATTCAATTCAAAAAATGAATTAATAAATTTTTTTTTCAATTAATTTTTTTTCAAATATTTTTTTTTCAATTAATTTGTTTTTTCAAATAATTTTTTTCAATTACTTTTTTTCCAAATAATTTTTTTTGAAATAATATTTATTGCATTTATTTTTTTTCAATTATTTTCTAAATTAATTTTTTCCCAATTTATGTTTATAATTAATTTTTTTTTTCAATTATAATATGTATGATCCCATTGTCATAAAATAATAAAAAATAAATATAAATATTTTAGACCGGAATAAACATATATTTTTTGTTTATGTGTGTTAAATTAAACAATAAATATTATGTTCAAACCAAACGCGTTTGTAATTTATATTTTTTTAAAATAAATAAAAACTAATTAATAAAATTTTTGTAATTAGAAATCAAAAATAGAAATGTTACCAAACGCTACCTAAACATTTTTTCATTTGTTAAATTTATCACTTTTGTGAAAAATCCGTGAACCTATACCGTTGTCTTCACCTTCATTATTGTACTTCACCTGTCAATTGCACCCGTGAAGGTCTTACCCGTGAAGTGGAAGTACCATCAATAATATTAGTATGTGATTTATTTGAGATTGAAATGACCACATTACCCCTCTTTCAGTGAATACTAAATTCATATGTTAGAAAAAAAAAAAAGGACAACATGGTAATTTAACTCATATTCTGCGAGCCATCAACCCTCTACAAAACCTCAATTGGTCAGCTTTGATACAAGAAAAAAGAAAAAAAAGCTAAAATAGTTAGTCAACTTTCGATCAAAGTTTAAAAAATAAATAAATAAAATAAAAAGGCAAAACTCAGCAGTATGTTTTTGACCATTTGTTTGATCAGGGCTCTTTATAACACTCTGTTGACCAACAATTTCACTTCACAACTTTCAACAACACCATCTTCATTCCAACAACTTTATTACTTCACAACTTTTACCAACTTCTTCATCATTTTCATTGAGATTCATTATTCAAATGATATCAAAATAGTATCAATACCCGAACGATACAACCACCGTCTCCACAACCTACCTCAATTAATTTCACAATCAATTAATTTCAAAAATTCAGTCTATATTTTTACAATTCATATTCGTGTAAAATAAGGGACCAAAAGCTTTGATCAAAGGTTCTTTCAGATCTGTTCACAATTTCAGAGCTGTAGAAGTAAGCCGAATAGTTCAGCAAACAGGTCAACCCAGCGGTCAACCGGTGGGTCATCTGGCCAGACAACCAGTGGGTCATTCGACAGGTCAACCAGCCTCGCCTATTCCAGCTTCCAGCAAGTCTCAATCTGAGGCTAAGCTTTGGCTATCTATTTCAACCCGAGGCTATTTCAGCTTCCAGCAAGTCTCAATCCGAGGCTAAGCTTTAGCTATCTATTGCTTACCTTTTACACACCATTTTCATACATTTTACTATATATTTTTGTTACCTTTTGCTATCCTTTTGCTTACGTTCATAAGTCATGCTGAGAATAAAAAGAGCCAGACTAGGACGTGGCCAAACCTCTAACCCTCCACCATGCCAACAAGAGCAGACTTATTCAACTATTGATTTTCTCACCTACAATCATGAACAAGCTTATCCAAATTTTGCCAATCGACCAATTGTTACCGGGAGAAGGGTAAATCTACCTTCTCAATATGATCCTTTGTTGGTTGGCAGACTAGAGACAATGAGACTACCTTTAACCAATTTACCACAAAAGGTATATCCACGTCTTGTGTATTTATTTTACCTTTACTTAAGACCTGCTAAGGGAGCAGTTGGAGAGCATAGTTTGACATCTTACGTCAAAGGTAAACTAATCATACTGAACCCCCACACTTTGGCACAAATTATTGGAGTTCAATAAGGGGATTTACAAAGTCATTTTTAAAGTGAGACTGACGTAGTTAACATGGTTGGTGATGTAAGTGAGGTTTATACTACAATTTGTGAGAACCGATTTACCTGTACCAATTTACAAGGACAACATTTGAAACCCCACCTTCATATTCTTCATTGATGGATGGTCGAAAATGTCACTTCCAAAAAAGGACATTTTGATATTGTTCCATTTATACTGTTTATTTGTTACATTGTTTTGAAGTTGGACAAACATTGGATTTATGTTACATACTACTGAAGGAAATGGTGGTTCTAAATCTTGGCACTCTAAGTGGCCAGTTACTACCTTTTGGAGCTCTACTAACCAAAATTTTCAAAGCTCATCATATCAGCCCTTGTAGGTGAAGCAGATGTAAAAATCTATTCACCAATTTCAAAGTATATACCAACTCGAGCTGGTGGCACTGACAACTTATTGGGATATATGTGAAAACTCATATTTAATTATTCTTAAAAGAAAATAAATAAATAAATTAATTAATTAATTAATTTTATTCAGAATCTACCTAAAATATATAATAGTGTAAAAGTCAGTTTTAAATTAACCCAATTCAATCACTAACAAAGACATTATTAAGAATAATAATTTTGTAGGTATTCAATATTTATTGTTTATAAATTATTTTTATTACGATTTAACATGATAATTATTCTTACTAAATACCTTAGTTAAAAATCTTAGTGTATCAATTTTGAGAAACCCATGCAAATACACACACCAAAAAATAAAATAAAATAAAAATATAATAATTCAAATTTTGGCAGAGATTTGGTGGTGGCAAATAAACAACACTTGGATTTCATGCAAATGTATTCATTATATGCATTGGAATTGAGAGATACTATTAGACCACAGAATGATTAAGAGAGAGAGAGAGAGAGCTTCAGAGAAGGTTCTATAAATTCATACACTTAGGGTGTATTTGGTAACATTTACGTTTTCAGTTTATATTTACAAAAATTTTATAAACTGATTTTTGTTTATTTTTTGTTTATTTTTAGAAAAATATAAACTATAAACGCGTTTGGTAATTGACAAAATGTTTAAAAATATAAAAAATAGTGAGAAATGGCAAGTGGCGGCGAAAGACGGTGGTGGAAAGTGGTGACGGTGGGTGGTGGGTAGCTGGTGGTGATGAGTGGTGGCGGGTGGGTGGTGGGTTGGTGGAAAGTTGAGTGGGTGACGGTGGCGGGTTGTTGGGGTGGTAGGCGGAGTGGGTTGGTGGTGTGGTGGTGGGTGGTGACGGGTGGTGAGTGGTGGTGGCAGTAGGTGCGCGGAGTGACGAGTGGTGGTGGTGGGTGGTGGGTGACGGTGAGGTGATGGTAGGTGGTAGCAGTGGTGGTGGTGGTGGTGTGGTGTGGGTGCTGGTGGTGTGGTGGGCGGTGGTGATCATGGTGAAAGGTGTGTGGTGAGTGTGGTGGCAAGTAGGTGGCGGGCGTGGTGGATGGTAGTGGGCAGTGGTGGGGGGTGCCGGTGGGATGGCAGGTGGGTGGTGGTGGTGGTTGGGTGGTGGTGGCGGAAGACGATGGTGGAAAATGGTGGCGGGTGATGGCTAGTGTTGGGTGGTAAAAAAAAAAAAACTCAAAACTTAAAACGGAAACAC